TGAGACAGGGTCTCACTTTGTCACCCAGGCTGTGTGCAGCAGTGCAATCATAGTTCACTGTAACCTCGAACTCCCAAGTAGCTGGGACTACAGGTGTGTTCCACCACACCTGGCTGATTTTTTAATTTTTTTGTAGAGATGGGGGTCTCACTTCATTGCCCAGGTTGGTCTCAAACTCCTGGCCTCAAGAGATCCTCCCACCTCAGCCTCCCAAAGTGCTGGGATTAGAGATGTGAGCCATCCCATCCAGCCCATATAAACATTTTAAAAGAAATAAACTTATGCTAACAAAATATTCAGTGAACTACGACTTAATTTACAAAGTCTTATACACACCAAAAGTGATATTTTTCAAAGAGGTTTTCAATAAGACATACAAATTGGGCAGATCACTCTAATAATATAATCCCATTAATTAACGTAATTTTTTAAATAACAATTTTTGTTAAGTGGCCCTTATTTGGTACTCAAAGGTAAAATCCCAGTGAATAATCAGAATTTTCTAAGCAAAATAACTATACATGTTTTCAACTATATAATCTTTTATTTCACTAAATGTATACTATACTGATACAAAGCAAAGAGGATTTAAATTTCTCCTAATTAGTTCTACCAAGATACCATGGTTGAAAACTAAATTTTTCTTGCTGAGAAAAGAAGAATGCAAAGAAAAATATTATAACCTTCTATTGGGCTTAAAACACTTTACATTCCATTAGTAATAAGTAATTACTGAACTCACTTCCCTTCGCCATACATGATATTTTACCAATTCTGAAGGAGGAAGTGTGTCTCCCACTATCTGAGGGAGACACGAAGGAGTCCTGGGCTTTTATCCCCACCGTGCTGACCATCACTGCATGTCCTTGGGCAAATCACTAAGCTTCTTTGAATCCTGGTTTTCTCAATTATGAAATATGATAGTTTGACTAGATGATCTCTGAAGTTCCTTCCAGGTCTAACACCTTTTCTTATCCAAAAGAACAGTATTTTATTGTTCTAAAATTCTGTGATAAATTAACGAAAATAAAAATTAGAGAGAAGATTGGGGAGAATTTTTTTCACTTATAAAAGCCAAATGACAATATCCTACAATTGTACAGAGAGCACGATTTACTACCTGGGGAAGGTTAAAAAGAACTGGAAGGAATAAAAAATGTAAAACAGCATTGATTTAAATCTAACTGTAATAGAGCCTAAGTCTCGTAGCAGCTACAAAGGAGTGCTTTCTACTTTAAAAGATTACTATCTCTTTGCATTTCTGGTAAAAGCAAGCAGAACTGAAGAGGACAAGCAGGACTTCAACACAAGGAGAAGGCGCCTGTCAGAGAGGACAGCCTCCGGGACAGAGCAAAAGGAGGCCATGCTGGCCCACGTGGAGAGCAGTGACCAAGTGGCAAGCTGGATTCAGAGAGGGGAACAGAAGGTAGAGCAGCGGGCGGACCGACGGCTGCTGTGGAGGGCATGAAATAATATCATGAAACCTGGGCCCTGCTGTAGTCTCTGGGTAGATACCAAGGGGCTTTTTGTTTGTTTGTGTTTGTGTGGAAAAGAAATTATGTAACATGGAATTTTCTAATGCAAATGGCAGGGAAGATGAAAGTCATGACAAGGAAAGAGATGGCGCAAGTCTAGAGTACAGTAGTCCCCCGCTTTTATCTGGGGTTTCGATTTCCTCGGTTTCAGTTACCCAAGGTCAACAGTCTGAAAATATTAAGTGAAAAATTCCAGAAATGAGCAACTCGTAAGTTTTAAACTGCACACCGCTCTGAGTGGCATGACGAAATCTCATTCAGTTCTGCTCCATCTGCACAGGATGTGAATCATCCCTTGTCCACACTGCCTACACCACACGCCTGTTAGTCACTTAGTAGCAACCTAGGTTATCAGATCGAAAAAACACAGTATATACGGGGTTTGGAAATATCTGTGGGGTCAAGCATCCAATGGGGGTCTTGGAACGTACCCCGTGGATAAGGGTGGACTACTGTACAAGAACGGACTGAACGTGACACTGGGAAAATGAGACACAGTGAGAGACAAGGACAGCTGCCTATGGAGATAAGACAGTGACTGTAACCACTCTCTCCCTAATCTACCCACTGCCACCCGCTTCCCTTTCTGACTAATTTGATGTTGTCTTTGTTTCCAACTATCTAGGAAAAAAAAAAAAAAAAAAAGGAGTTGAGGATTAAGAGACTCTCCACAACTTTCAACCAAACTCCTTAATCATGTGAACTTCCATTCTCTCCTGTCTCTGATTTTCTGGAAGGTACTGTCTACCCTCTTGCCC